CTGATACAGGCCAGGACGCTGTTGGCCTTCTTGGCCACCTGGGCACACTGCCGGCTCATGTTCAGCTGTCTTCACTGGTAACCTATTGCTGGTAACCTGTTGGTTTCCTGGTAACTTATTGCTCAAGTTCAGTACTTTAATATTAAACATGTGGCTATTTAATCTTTAAATATATATATTTGGCTTAGATGCTCACCTTCAAAATAACTCATGAAAGCTTATTTCTGAGCACTACAAAAATAACATTTTAAATAACAACCTCAAAGACACTTTTATTATAAACAAAATACATTCTAGGAGTAAATCCATATCCTAGCCATACTTTAACTTGAAATGTGGTGTTTGAAATACTTTAGGGAGTTGGACTTAATCTGCCCACTTAAGCCTTAAGGGGAATTTTGTGAAGGGGTCTCTGTTTTTCCTTTGTGCTGCTTGAGCTGTTCTGTGGAGGACTGATGGCAGAGCGGAACTGCTGTGCTAGGAGAGATCAACACCCATGGTTAGGATGCCTGAGGCCATCATTCATGGTTGGATGCAGTGGTTACGTAGGGACCATAATTTCCAGTGTAAATGTCATGTAAAGATTACCCTCTTGTATTAAGCAGTAAGGGAAGAGGTGATAAAAGTAGTCAAACAATAAAGTAAACCAAACTTTCTGCTTTTTACTATAAGGTAGACTTTTCAATGGTAGGTTTTTCAGTCAGGTAGACTTTTTCATATGCTCAAGTTGGTGTGAACCTGGGTGAGAAACAAGTTTGGGTTTTCTTGTGGAGATGTATACTGGCAAATGAAGAAAAAGAAAACTAAAATTGTTATGTGAACAGCAATGTGATGGTCTCTTAATGGTAAGGATGTCTGAAGAAAGGATCCCAATAGCTCTATTTCTTGAAAGTAGTTAAATTAGTGTTTAAAACACCAGTAAAAAAAAAAAAAATGATTTTGTGTGTTATTTGGTATATTTACATTTGCAAGTCTAACACTTAGAGCGTAGTTACATTTTTCGACTCAGGAGCAAGTGCTATGATCTATGAGTTCGTAGGCCTGTGATTTGTGTGTGCTGTAAGCGAAGAGTACGTGTTTCATTCGGCTGGGAGCTCGCAAAGATGGGAGGCCATGGATGCAGCAGCAGCAGTGCCTGGGCAGGCTGAGAGCCAGCAGTACTCCCACCGTACGCTTGAGGGCTCTGAAGACTGCGAGGAACAGTGCAGAAGCACTTGCAGTTGAAGAATGTATTTTAACTAAATTGGTGCATTGTACCTGCTCAGGGTTTAATGCTTGCTGGGCCATTTGGCTATTTGCCATAATTGGCTTTCCATTCCCTTGATTGGAATCATAGATAAAAATTTGCTAATCCACTTTCTTTGCTGAAAGTATTAGAAAAGTAATCCATCTTTTAAAAAAGCTCGAGCAAAATCATATGGTATAAAGAATACTTTATGGAATAATGAGATTAATGAGAACTGTAAGGCATATGCAATTTAAAACATTTTTGCGGTTTTAAGGGGGGGAAAACGTAATCTGGGCACTATAAAGCCGTAAGTACTTCCTTTTTTATGCACTGCCTTTTAGATGTGTATTACATGTTATGCTGTTGTGGACATGATAAAATGTGAGTATATATTCAGAAAGAAGGAACTGCTATTTATTTGTATTTTTCTTATGCTTGAAAATACCTGATTCAAAGTTCTTGTCTCTGTTCTTTCCTCCCTCTCCCCTCTTCTGCCCACAGGGCATCAGAGCACGCATTTTGGAAACCCTTGTAATGCTTATTCTTCTTGCACTGCTTATCCTTGGAATTGTATGGGTTGCTTCAGCACTCATAGACAATGATGCTGCCAGTATGGAGTCTTTGTATGGTATGGAATTTAAAAAACACCACACTAGTTTCATTTTAATTACGGAAATGGATGCTTTCAATTAAATGTATTTCTAGTAAATGCTATGTGAGTATTGCATAGGCTGTGAAGAAACTGTATTAATTTAGTCAATGCCATTTTTTCTGTTAAATCTGTTTTTAGCATGCTGAGAAGTTCCATGCTTATGTGGACACGAGGTATGTTAAAACAAGTGACTTAAATGATAAAACCTGAAGATATTTTTCAAGCTAAAGTACTTTAGTTGCCTGCAGGATTATTAAATGACTAATCCTTAGTTTATGCTTGAAAATACAATCATTCAGTCTTGAACACTTAAGAAAAGTTAATTCAGTTGTGTTTGTGACATAAGTAGCCTATTTGTGATAAGCTAAGACTGTGCTCAATATTTTCTTTACAGACCTCTGGGAATTCTACCTCCCGTATTTATATTCCTGTATATCACTGATGGGATGCTTGTTACTTCTGTGTAAGTATTTTCCTGAATATTCCAAAGGATGAATGATTTTTTTTAATTTTTTTTTTTTTTAAGATTAAAGGAAACTGTATTTCACTGTGAAAATTGAGATTGTGGAAGTTGAGTGTGGAAAAACTTTGTGGGGTTTTTTATTTTTTATTTTCACTCAGGTTTAAATTTAGATGTAAATTTGTTAGGTTTAGGTTCTGAAACTTTTGGAAAAAATGTTACCTTACACTTTCAGGTTTTGAGGAACATCACACCTCACCGAAAATAATGACAATTTTTAACTTTTTAAAGCAAGTACTTGAAAAATAGGGACTCTATTCCACAAAGAAAAACACAATTTTAAAATGAAATGTCTGCAGGAAGTCAGTAGTATGGAGAGAAAGTTATTTTGGAACACTTAGTTTGTCCTATATTCAGTAAATGACCCTTCTTTTTTAACTGAAAATCTTCCCGTATAGACAGAAGTTGGAACACAGTGCAGTTAGCTTTCATAATCACAAAACTGGTATCTGATCAGTCTGGAGGTCAGTTATATGATTGCATATAAAACAAATGCAGTAAAAACCCCCAACCTTATACCAGCTGGCCCTAGCCAGAGTTCAGTCATCCATGCTTGGGGGATAAGAAAGATGATGGAAGGCTCCAAATCCCACTTATAATTTCAGCCCCACCATTTCTAGAAAATTGCTGAGAGGGGGACAGAACATCTCACTTCAAGATTATCATGGTTTCACCTGTTCTCCAGGCTTCATAGGTTTACAGCTAACACTTACAGGGCTACAGTCACTGTAGAGAATGCGTGGGGAAGGATAATTTGAAACTTCCTTAAAAGTAAGCCTATCTGTTCCTGAAAGTTGCTCGCAGAGACCTTGGTGAGTCTCCTTCGGTTCTTAAATGCACTTTGAGGGAGGTGGGAGGGAAATAAAAAAAAAAGTGCTTCTGAATGTCTCACATAGGCTGTTCAAGAGTGCGATTCACAACAGTTGCAGAATGGTTTAATGGCAAAGTTGGCTTACAAACTTCCTACATTTGTCTTGCAGTTTGTTTCATCAGGGCTGAAAACACAGTGTGTTCTGGGGCTATTGTAAACCAGTTCACTCAAATAATTGGGATTAAATCTCAATTTTTGGAAGAGTTATTTGTAATTTGTACAAGAAAACCACCGAAGTTATTTAAGGCCCTCCAAACTGTTATATCTGCGTAGCTGAAAGGGCAGCATGCAGCAGTGGGAAAGTGTTAGGTGCTGGGGTAGAGCTTCATTAGATCTTCAGCTGGCTAATTGCTGAAGCAGTGTATGAATAAGGCTTACTGCAGTGGTAATCTGGAGCATTGCTTCCTTTCTCCTTTTCCTTCAGGCTTCCGCTGTAGTAAAGGAAGACTAGCTTAAGTTAGCCTTCTTGAACACTTATTTTTCCTGTAATACATAGTGAAACACTAGTTAATATAAACAAATGTAATCCTCACTACAAAATCTTGTGTGCTTCTCCTTTTTTTTGACAATGCTGCTTTATTATAATGGAAAGTATAAATGTTTATCCTCATCTGTGCTGTTACAGATTCCTTCCATCTCCTATCTTCTACACACTTCAGTATTTGAAGTCTATTCTTCCAAAACTATTGATTTTTACTAATAATTTTCTATGATCATGGTTTGAGCCTTTCTCTCCAAAAACATAGAATCATTAAGGTTCAAAAAGACTGCTAAGATCATCAAGTCCAACCGTCAACCCAACACCACCATGCCCACTAAATCGTACCCCGAAGTGCCATGTCTACACGTTTTTTGAACACTTCCAGTGATGGTGACTCCACCACCTTCCTGGGCAGCCTGTTCCAATGCTTGACCACTCTCTCAGTGAAGAAATTTTTCCTAGTATCTAGTCTAAAGCTTCCCTGGTGCAGCTTGAGGCCATTTCCTTCTGTTCTATCACTACTTACTTGGGAGAAGAGACCAACACCCACCTATACATGTAAACATATATGCAACCTATACATATAAACATAGATGCACCATACCTGGAAATCGTCACAGGCTACGATCAAAAAGGACCAATTGTTATTTCATAGAAAAGTAGCTTAAAATCTGGTAGCTGAGCCTACTGTCAACTGAAGTTGCAGTATAACTTTCTGAGCAAAGCAGCTTCATGATCTCTGTACCTTACAGCTACGCTTGTGCTAATAGATTAAATGTGCTTGAGATGTTCTCCAGTGCTGTGGCCAACTAGTGTTGTTCCATCCATGATATTGTAGGTTGCAGAAGGTGGCTGTGTATTTATTGCCTCATGATAATGGTTTCTAGTCTGCGTGAACTCCAGAACTGCACCTGGGAATTGTTTGGGAAGGTGCTAACTGGCCCAGGGCAAATCATGCTAGGGATAGTTATAGCAATTTATTGGTGTAGACAATCAAGTCTTAATGCCCAGGAATGTATCCTGGCACTGCTAAATTTACAAGTGTAGACATAGCCTTTGGTGCCACATGCTTTGAATAGATAATTACTTAAGCAAGTTTAAGATACCTGATCATATGGTATTCCTTGTTGACAAAAATTTCAGAGTTATGCTTTTGGAGGGGAAAGATGCTTGTCTTGTTCAAAATTCATATGATAGCAATGTGTTTTAAAGTTTGTATTGGAGTTTGAAGCTCTCGCAGTTCTCTTCAAAACCATACTTGGTTATATGTGGAATACCACGTTGACCATCCAAATAAAAATCGGTCTTTGACTTAACAAATCACCATTTTGCATAATCTTTCTTCCTCTGCAGTATGCACGCCAGTGGGACTTTCACGGATGTTTACAGTAATGGGTCAATTGCTGGTGAAGCCAACAGTAAGTGTTAGAGAAATCTGTCCTCATGTGCTATCTGTTAGAAGGTAGGATGGCATTAGGGTACTTTCTTCTAGAATGCTTGCACTTCCACATAATTCTCCCTTCAGTTCATCAGAGTTTCTATAGTCAATATTTATGTACTTGTTTAAAACTTTTTGTATACCACAAAATCCTGTTTTCTTCCACAGAAAAAGTTTGTTTTTTTTAAAATCATGTAGACTTCCTCTGGTTTTCCAATTTATATAACTGTTACTACTATTAGTATTTATTGGCAGCATTACCTATTATGTCTGTCTTAAACGCCTGAAAAGTCTGGGCTTGTTCTGAATTCAGGAGCAAAGGATACAAAACTAAACTAAGGCTGGATGACAAGAAGGGTACCTGGGGGTACATGTAGATGGGTGAAATGTAAGACCAACCACCTACATGTAAATACTCTTAACTGTTCTTGTACTGAATGCTTTGAGGGAAGGGAGAAGTTTGTACCATGTGCAAGTGCTCTAGTGACTTTGCTGTCACATTTATTAGTTTGTTATTTGCTAAAATTTGGGTGCACTTAGGTCTTGCATTCCTTTTCATTAGGTCAACCCTGAAAATACAAAGGAAATATATAGTGTTATGGTATCTGTAAGCTTTAAACTCAAAGCACCTGATAGTAAGGTAGACAGACTTCATTTGTTTGGGTTTAGCTTCCAATAGCAATTTATATTTGCTTGAAATACTGGCTTATGTGAAGTCATTTTTTAACATACTCTTTCAAAATCTGCAGTTATTTTTATTTAAATCAAACTGAGTGTGAAGGTTGATAGGTTGTTTTTTTTTTTTTCCTTTAGAAATGATTTGAATATAGGTCAGATGTACTGTCCCTTCCTCTGTTCCCTAAGTCTCTTTAGATTGAAACTGAATGTAAGAGCTTTAACCTGAGAAGAAAACTTAACAGAAAGTTTGCTTACAGTAAAGAAGTAGATCCGCAACAGAATGTAATAATCCTCTGTGAAGTTCTTACTTATGTCAGTATTGTGAAGTTGTAGATTATATATTTAAAATATAGCTTACTAGAACAAAACAAACCTGACTAGATTAGCACAGTTGACTCTGTTACTCAGTTCATTGTTTCTGTTTCCAAATACAGATCCTTGAAGACCTAGATGAGCAGATGTATATCATCACTTTAGAGGAAGAAGCAATTCAGAGGAGGCTTAATGGTATGCTTGTTCTGGTACTGCTTCAAGTATGGTGTTTAGAGTAGAGTGGTTCTGGTCATTACTGTGGATCTCACAGTTACATAGCTTCTTCTCTCAAAATAGAAAATTTCAACATCTTTGTATGTAACAAGCGTTATAGGCTTACCTTTCATTGCTCACTGTGGTGTTCAAGATTGGCTTTTGTGTGTGTGGTTTGCTTTGGTTTTGCTTTTAACATGTTCATCAGCTCTAATATGTGAATATTCTGAGACTGAGAAGGCAAATTGAGTGGCTGACCACCCCACCACCCTTACTGCAAAATAGTTTGGATTGGTAAATGACTGTATTTTAGCCTTGTCTGAAGAACAATGAACTTATATTCGCAAGAGGCTCAACTTTCTGCATTATGAGTTGTGTTTTTTGAGTATTTTTTTTATTTCAGTTCATTATTATTTGGAATCTTAGGTAATAATTCAGTAAACATAAGAGCAGTCTTTTATATTCTAGGTGCTATTTGATGAATACAATAATTTTAATAATTTTGTTAATGAGTAATTACAGTGAATAATTAATACAAATGTTTCTTTCTTGTATTTAGTATTACAATTTTGCACTTCTTGATTAGGTGTTTCTGTTTTGAAATATTTCAAAAGCAGTGTGAAGCTTTGGCTTCTAAGAGAGAGTATTGCAGCATGGCAGGCACCAGTTAAGGAAAATAGATCAATTCTTTAAATGTGGAAATCATGTTATACAAATTCGCTTCTGAATCACTTTAACTGCATGGATAAGCCATCCGTCCACAATTTATACAATTGCTTCAGGTTGGAAAACCAAAGAATATTCATGTCATGACAAATCCATTGTTGTGTTGTCTTATGATTTATTTTAGCCTCAATTTTCTTCATTTCCTGCCTTTCTCTTACTCTTCAGTCTTCTGTCATATATCTCAATCTTTTCTTCTTTCATGTCTCAGTAAGTCTCTTTTCGAAGTTGCTTGGTCAGGGAAAGTACCTCTGATAACAGTAGATAATGGTGGTCGTCTTTATTGCAGCATTTAAAATTTGTGGAGGAATAGTGACTTCTTCATGCTAAAATCAGCCAAGGTTTCAGTTTAAAAGTAATGTTCACCTTTGCTGTTTTGGAAGCTTAGGTTTTATACTGATAACACATATACAGCATACACATACAGACACACAAAAAGGTGCATGCAGTGAATGTCTTTGAAGCTGTGATGGGGTAATTATAATTGTTCTGTGTGTTTGATGTTAGCTAGCAACTGTAAAATATTTGTTACTGAATATTTCATGTTGTCATGGTGATTGTGCTTAGTACAAGAAAAGTGATACAGAAAAACGACCCAATAGTTATTCAAGTATCTATCAGAACTAGTGCAGAGTGATTTCCACTATTCAAGTGGAGAATGTGATTATTTAGGTGCTTGTCTGCTGTTTTTCTGCGAAGAAGTCTATGCAATAGTTTTTTATATTGCGATTTAGTAATATCACTCTTGAGGTGGAACTACTCTGTTTCTTGGCATCTGTTAATTGGCTCTGGATTTAGAACATGTGCAGGTGGCTCCCCTAAACACTAGCCGAAAGGCTGGATTCTCTTTCAGCGAATTGGTTAGTATTCAACGTAAGGTGGAACTGCAACCCACCCATGTTCCACAGAGCTCTCACCAGCCTGCTCTTGAGTGGTGAAAGATGTGGGGCTTAAATGTCCTTTGACAGGAGAGGGAACTGAATTATTCTCTTTGACATGCTGAGGGAATGGTATTGACACCACCATCTGAAGGAATGCTTGAAAACCCATAGTTTGGTGTACAGAGAAAATTAATGGGCTTAAGCTGAAAAGCAAATAAAAATCTAAATGTGGATATAGCATGTAGGTGGAGGGCAATATGTTATATGCACGAGAAGATACTCTGCAAGATTATTGAGAGTGATTCTAAATTCTAAATATCGTTCTCATTTATGTTGCAAGCATGGAAAGCTTCATCTTCTCTGCCAGAAGTCTTTCTAATACATATAAATTATGCCAGAAAAATAGGTACCATTTTTGCCAGAACTATAGAGACTCATGCTTGTCATGATTATGCAATTTTTAAGAACATGTACAAATGGACGTGTGGTGCTAATTACATCAGCAAATCATGCTGTGATGTTAGAGGCCGTAATCTGTGATTTAACACATAGATTGTGTAAGTATTTTTCTTGCTGTATCAGAGCATATATATTAGGCTGCACAATTCCTGTGCCATGGCTGTTGCAACTCTTCCACAGTTGTGGTAGTGGAAATATATGTGCTTAAGTAACCCTGGTGGAGACTTTTGCAGTAAAGTGTTCTGAAATACATATTCCATTTATATATATAACCAAAGAGTTGAATTTTTATTAAAACTGAAGAGGACCAGAGCACAGGCTTAAGTGATAATTGATGATTGTCAGTGCTGATTGGTAGAATATTTGCTATCACGCTCCTAGCACTGCATTGCCCTGTCCTAATTAATGTTTCCTCAGACAATGCCTGGACATAGGAAGGGTATAGCATGAATCACTGTTCCCACTGAATAGGATGGGTAAAGCCTCTGTTTTCAGAGGAGAAAAAAAAGTTTAGCTGCGTGAGCTGATGCCCTTCTTGATTCGCATAGATGTAAGTGTTGGGGTGATGATGCAATTGATAGCGTTCTATAAAGGTCTTCATAGTTGAAAATAAATCTAACTGGGAAACTGCATATCTTCTTTGCAGAAACTAATTTTCTTCCTTCACAGATGTCTACTGTGTATCACTGAAAATCAGAGGAGGAGGGAGGGAAAAATTTGATCATGTTATCTGCCCTAGTATTTTTATCTATTGAAGAGATACTGGGCTTTGGGAAAATGTTTGTTTCCAGTGTATTATATTTCAGTACCCACATCACTCCTACAGTCGAAGAATAAAGCTGGGACTTTTTTATATTAAAAGAAAAAAGTTGCCTTCAGCTATTAGTTTTCCTGAATCCAAAGAGACGGGTGGGGTAGGATCAAAAATACTTACTTGATCAAAGTTATTGGCTCTGAAGGTATCCTTACCTATGTAAGAAAGATGAAAGGTGTTGTTTTTATTGCACGCTAGTAACAGTGTAATTTTGAACTAATTGGTGTTGAACTGCCAATCACCTAGGGGGAATGCAAATAGATACTCTTACAATTTCCTTTGAGGTACTGAAATCTTATGTCGGGGCTGGAAGAAAAACAGAATAATACCGTTAAATTGACCTTAAATGAGCTGCTTTGTGGCTTTCTTGGAGAATCCCTTCTAACTTTTCATTGCTAGTCCAAACAAGTCTCGTCTACCAATTTGATTTATTGGCTAGACAGCGCTGACATTGAACTTTGTGCGTGTTTGAAATAAAGCTAATGTTATAGAGCTTTTAAGAATTTAGCTGCATCCTTTTCAAATACTCTTTTGACTGATTTGAAACTTTGTCTTCCCCTCTTGTAAAATATCCTTTTGTACAGCAACCTGTTGTTTGCTACTATTTTTAAGGAGGAACTACCACAGCACTTAAACATGATTCAGAATGTCTACTGAAGTGTCTCTTAGGGACCTAATGTGATCACGCTGACTTTATTGGAAAGACTCCATGAATATCAGTGTTTTGAGCTCTGGATTTTTATATTGAGGGGAGGAAACATGTATCTTGAACAAAGCTTTTCCTCAGAGACTCCTAAATCAATTATGGAGAAGAAGATGTCAGATGTTAACTTATGTTTCTTATTTTTTCAACTACTTCCATTAAAGTACTTGAGACTTTTTCCACTGACCTATCCTTTTTCTCAACCCGTAGTAATTAGTAATTCCATAGCACAGATGTTCTGTACCTTTTTTAGAAGGGATGCATCAGTACAAAAGCTTATTTTTTATAATGATACTGAGATTTGTTTGTGTTTTTAAAAAAAAACACAACTTTTTCTAACCCCCCCCCATATTATGATTACTTATTTAAAAAAAACATTGACAAATTAAAGTAATGTTCATACTGCAGGTACTTCAAGTGAATACAAATTGTTACAAAACAGCATTTGTAGGTATTACTGTTTAGTCCTGGGAATTGAGATATTTATATATTTGAAGCCCTGTAAATATTACCACATATACTGATATAAAAGATAAATGTTTAGGCATAGCACAGAGGTTGCGTGTTATATGCAAAAATGTGTGTGAAAGAAGCATGTAATTAAAAATTACATTTAAAAATTAATTTTTGAAGCAGTTGGATGCCTCATTGATAATTTGACTGCATCAAACAGATCAGTATTTATACCCTGAAATAAAAAGAGAAGTTTAAAAAAAAAAAAAAAGTCCAAGAAATACTCTTGTATATCTTGAATTTCAGGTAGGACCTCACTGTGCTGGAATATGGAGAATGTGGAGGCTGGATGGGATAAGAAATTTGCCTTCTTATCTTGTACTGAGATTGCTGGATGGATGAGCAGACAACAGAAAATAAGGAAATAATGAGACTGGACCACTGAGTAGTGTTGGTGTGCCAGCAATCCAAGTGCTATTTAGTTTTTGTATGCAAATGATCAAGATATGAGATAAAAGCCTATTAATCTCATAGAAATTTATTAGGAGTATTTAAAAAAAAGTATCTGGAATGTGGTGCTATTACAAGTTAGCCTGCAATCAGAGGTGAGGCTGTGGGTAAGGGAATGGCCAACAGGTGAAGGATGTCAGTGTAAATCAAGAAAGAAGATAACAGAGAGGACTTAGGGTTTATTAAGACCTTAAACTGTCACTGCCACAGAGTGTTTTTGCAGAGTGAGGTTGGCCTGGAATAGACAGGGAAAATATGAGCCCTCTTACCTTATTTTCAGGTGAGATTATTCAGAAATAAAAGGGATGCAAGTGGGGCAAAGATGAGTGGAGAGTGTTTCTAACTTATTCTGGGAAGAATACTTCCAGTTTGGTTGCAAAGAGTAAAAGCTAAAGTAGAAATAATGAGATCAGAACTGAAACAGCAGTTCTCTAGTCAGCATTTTAGAACTGTGTTATTGCTTGAACACTGTGCAATGTTTGAGGAGGAACTGGAATCAAGGAGAGAAACCACAGTGTGCTCGCACTGGAAAAGATGGGTGGTTGGACGAGAATGGGAGGTTGACGAGAAAAAGGATAGAGAGGAAAAATGGGCTGAGTTCCCTAGAGCCCATGTAGGGATAGGAGGAAGTGTTGCCGAGCAACTTGTAGGCAGAAAATTAGCAAGGGAGAGAGAGGAATTAATATTATGGTTGTCCGTTTTGAGCTGGTGTAGAGATGAGAGTTTGAGGAGTTGCACAACAGTGAAAGCATATGCTGTAAAATGTAAAAAGGAAAGAATAAGGTCTCATGGGTGGTTGTAAGGAAGATCTGACTGTGTTGTCAGAGGGAGCTCTGCAGCATGGAGAGACTGACAAATCGGGCAAACTGATGGGAGCAGAAAGTATGTCAACAAGCAGGTCAGCAGTATGGAAATGGAGCTTGAGTAAAAAGGACTGGGGAAGGGCAGGGAGAGGCAGAAGCTGAAACTGGAGGTCCAGACACCAGCTTCATTAGTTTGGAGGCAAAGACCCGCTTTGTCTTTAAGTTGCTAAACAATAATGCTCTTGAAGGGCATCCAGAGATTCTTTAGATCTTGATACGTGAATTACATGAAGATACAAGAATGAGGCATTTGAGACATCCTGTGTCAGGCTGCCACACCATAACTGATTTTTTGAGCTTTGCTACAATTCAGCAGTAGCAGTTCTTTTACTTCTTGCAGCAGCTGGTCAACAGAATAGGCGGGGTTCGCAGAAGGTCACCCTGTGAAACCTCTGATGTTGTTGAACTCCTCTGGTTAGACAGAATTAGAGGGTTCTTGTCTAACCCCCTGTTTTTCAAAAAGTTGAAGACCCTTAAAAAAAACACCTGCAGTTTAAAGCCACAAGTACATCTTACAGTACTATAGTTAGTCTCATCCAAAAGAAAATACTATCTTCTGTTTTAAAAGGTGTATCTTCCGCAGTGGAATACCAGACAGTAGAGTTGGAACGGGAGCTTGAAAAAGTGAAAAGCAAGAAAACGAATCTAGGTAATAATTTTTTTCCTACTGTTTCATGTGGATTGCAGTTCATTAAATGACCTTAATATGCTCTGTTTAGCTTGTAGCAGTCACTTGATTGATTCCAGTTTGTTCTTAACCAAATTTGTGCATTTGAAGTCCTTTCAAATTGTAGTTTCTACAAATACATCACACGGAATCGTTGTACCCCTCTAACAAGGGAGTGTGATTTTTTTTTAACATAATTTGAGAGAAAGTCTACCATTCTTAACTTCCTTGCATGAAGCTCAATGGCATGGTCTTTTCATATATGATGATGTGATTATTTGGGATAATCTAAGACATTACTTTCCCCTCTGTTTTTGAATTATCTCTATAGAAGTCAAATTGTGTTTAAGGTACTTCTGGTAACGGCAGCCATTCAATAGGAAAATACTGTTTAAATACATGAAAATCTCTTCTGTCCCTTTAGGTTGCACGAAAATAGCCATGTAAACAGCATATTTTTAAATTCATTATGATTTAAACTTTTTTAAAACTGCTGTATGCCGGGGAAAAAGATGTCATGGTGAAACATGCCTGTAAACAAGAACGAAAAATCTACTTCTGTATGTCTCCTCAGCCTTTTCTCTAAAGAGGCTTCATGGTTTTGGCATTACTTTGTATAGCTTTTCAGGGTGGGTATTATTACAAACCGGTTGGTGTTGGTTCAAGATAACATCACTTTTGTTACTTATAACGAGTTTATAAATATCTGAATGATTTTTACTTGTTTTAATCTAAGATGATCTACAGCATGAAGCTTCTGTTTTTCTCTTCTGCACAGAACGGCGGAAAAAAGCTTCTGCTTGGGAAAGGAATTTAGTCTATCCAGCTGTTATGATATTGCTACTGATCGAGACAGTAAGAATTTTTGCTTTTTTTCTTTTTGCCTAGCAAAAAGTATGAAGAATTCTGTGGTCATCTGGGGGAATAGTTTTAAAATTTTTGAGTGATGTGTCTTTAAGCAACAAGCGGGGTATTCTTTTCTTGACCATTTTGAAAGAACATTATGAAATCTGGTGAGGATAAATGTATACGTTTTTAAAATGTGGAATACTTTTAAATAACAAGGCTCTTTCTACTTCTTTATAGTCCATCTCAGTCCTTTTAGTTGCTCTCAACATTCTTTACCTGTTGGTTGATGAGACTGCAATGCCAAAGGGATCAGGGGTAAAGTAAACTTCTCTTACGATTTTTGTAACTTTAGTAATGCTTTGTGGCCCTTACAAAAGTGCAGGTGAGAACTTCTGCTGTAATAACATTGAAACTAATGAGCCTCAACCTTCTAGATTTTGGTCTTGTGCACACATAAACATTTTTTACATGTCATGCTGTAGTGAGTTCTTAACAAAACTAGTCCAGAATCTTTATAAAGACACAGTGATAGAGTAAAGTAAATCAGCAGTCTGGAGTTTGCATTTACACGTCTCCTACTTTCATATGATCTAGAAATGTTCAATTTCAGAAACTATGTTAGAAACCAGTATGAAAAGCCTGTCTTGTGTTTGTGTTCTTACAAAACATGACATTTTTTCCTCCTTTATGATAAAAATACTTCAAGAAAGTAAAGAGCAGCTGATTGAGTGGTAGTGTCTTTAATTAAGAGTTTCTTTATTCACTTGGTAATGCTTTCCCCTCTTTATAGCTGTATATGAGCTTGCAAAGCTATAAAAGGTGTTTAGGGGTGGTGGCAGCTCTGCCTGTGGTATTGCGAACATCTAGAAGTGTCTTCTTTTGAGACCTCTTACTTTAGTTTCCAAAGTAATGGAGTATATATAAAATGCAGCATGGTGGGTCAATGCAGTGTGCATAAAATGTGAATCATTATACTTACTGTCTTAGTAATACATTTCACTCGAGTTTGAAAGCCAGGTGATAAAATTGCATAGGATGGGAGACTTGCAGGTTAGAACATTGGAATGCCCCTTAAGTACTGAATTGAGAAAAGGCTGTATTTCATGCAAGATGTTGTTGTGTGGTTGTTTTTTGGTCCTGGTAGAAGTTAACTTTATGAACAATTGCATGTATCTTACTAAATTATGCAAAGTATTTTTCTCCTTGTAGGGGCCTGGAATAGGAAATGCCTCCCTATCCACCTTTGGTTTTGTGGGAGCAGCACTTGAAATCATTTTGATTTTGTATCCTTTCTTTAAGAATTCAGTCTGTTAACAAGTATTCTGTCTAGTTTTCTGGGACACTGGCAATTTACTAAGACACTTGCCTGGAAAGAAGAAAGAGATAGGTCAGTCCTTCTCAAGCACTCGAAGTGTTTTTGTTTTTTTTTCTTTGGTTCTTAAGACTTTTAGGAGACTGCTGAGAACTTGAGTGAAACTTGCATTCCTTGGAGGTTCCTTTTTCCTTGATTCTCACAGCTATCTTATGGTATCCTCTGTCGTCGGCTTCTACAGTCTTCGTTTTTTTGAAAATTTCACTCCCAGGAAGGATGACACAACTATGACAAAGGTAAGGTAAAGTCTGTGATGGTGATGGCCCCCTCTTCTCTTTCTTGCCACCCAAGACAAACTGACTCTTTTAGTTAGTAATTGCCCTGAAAGGCTCATTTGCAGTGATCAGTATTTGTTTGTAAGCTGCGTAAACACAAACTGGAAGATTTTCAAAATGCTGAATGAGTGGGAAAAAGGATGTGCTCTGTTTAGTTTGGATGGCATCCATTCACTTGTAAAAAGCTGGGAATAGCACAGCTTGTTAACTAGCTATAGAAAAGCTAGTGAAAGAACTTTTTTCAAAGGAAACGTATTGCTAATGAGTAACTTTGATTGTGCTAACTGTACTTCAGGGACCTTGTTTGAAATCTGAAGAACTTGGTTGCTGGAAGTAATACAGACAAAGTAATTCAAATTTGAATAATTAAACTAAGACTGAGGAGAGCTATTCAGCAATATTTTTGCAGTCTGAGGCTAATTTGACTTTCCACAATTTAGCCCTGGCTCCAGAATAACAAATGCTGTTACCTAATGTGGAGGAACATGCTTAGGTTTTTGGAAAAATATTCCCACAGCTGACCAGGGAAGGTGATCAGTAATCACAGAACAGATGTTGAATTTAATTATTTTTTCAACGTGTTTCATTGTTTGTTTGTTTGGTTTGTTTTAAAATAATGGATAAAGACATTTTTATCATAAATTGTTGGAAGTGAGAAAATAGGTAAACACATAGAATAGTTATGGTAGGTAGTAGGGAGTTGGAATGTTCTTAATGTTTTCTATTGTTTGTTTACAGTACATCAGGAATAGCATAGAAATAAATAGTGAATGCACAAATATCTACCTACTTTTAAGAAGTTTTCTGTATTTTTTCTTCTGAATTCTGATAGAATTAGAGCTGAAGAAAGTGATCCCTTGTTGAGAGAAAGTTTCAATTACTCTTTATAAAAGCTTCACAAAAACTAGAGTAAAATCTAACAGCTGTGAATTTTTTCATACTCTTTAAAGTAGTCAGCAGGCATTCAATTGAAAGGAAGCTCTTTGTTGTAATTTTTTAAATAATGCTAATCCTGCAAGCAGTTACATACAAAGCTTAAGCTGATGTATCAGTCATCTATTCCCATGGAATGGTTCTTTTATAAGAAGTTTGCAGGAATTAAGTAAACAGCTGATCCTTGCAACATGGTAGTTTTGAATTATTTTGAATCTAAGCATACGTAGCACTTTGATTAAAAGGAAATGATTACATATTTGATTTTTTTTTTTCTCTTCTCTTGGATCATCTTGTGTAACACCATATGGAGAAGTGTGCAGAAATATGTTATTGTAAATTGCTTTAGGTTCCATTTGAAGAATGTAACTTTCAGGAATCCTTTTTCATCTTGACTTCTGTTTTTTTTTCTTTTTTTTCTTCAGCAGTACCATTTATAATTTAAATGCTGTTTGTCATTTTCAAACAGATCATTGGAAACTGTGTCTCAATCTTGGTGCTGAGCTCTGCTTTGCCAGTGATGTCAAGGACACTGGGTAAGTGAAATGGAAGCATAAAACATTGTAATAAAGGATGTTTAACTGAGTTTAAAAAAAAAAAAGAGAAAAAGGCACAGCCTGTAGCTGTACCTTTCATACTGTGTATTTAATTTTCCATCACTTTCAATAGAAGGAGCATGTATGTGTGGCTGCCTCTTCTACACCAACATGAGCTGTTGAACATACATTCTACCTATATATGAATTGCAGAACATACATTCTAAAAAAAGATGCTAAGCATTTTCTAGAAAATATATTCTTTTAAAAAAGTAGGTTGGATTTTAAACTTCTTTGGTTTAAAAGAGATGGTGAGAAGAATAGACATGGAGACTGCTTGTTCAGGGCAGTATAAAATAGTTTCATGTTCACTGTGAAATTACAGTGCACAGTTTTTGTGGAAATACACATTTGGGGATTCCAACTATAAAATTTGAGATAATGTTGAGTGCAGATGTCCTTAAAAACAATTAATGACTCTTATTCAGGTTTTTAATCAAAGATAGCAGGCTACGTTCATTTTCTCTAACATAATTTGCTTACATTCTTTGTTACTTCTATTTTCAAATATAAAAATTGGGAATCCAGCATAGTAGAACTGAAGAAGTTCTGATTTTATTGTTAAGGACTGGTGGTGGCATTTGAAGTGGAAAAACTATTTTAACCAGTTGGAAAGACAAGGTGTTTTGTATCTTCGCTTTGTTTAATTAGGTAATCTTCCACTTGAATTCTTGAAGTTAGATTGCAAGGCTTTTACATGTTAAGTAGTGCAGAATACTTGCAGCTAATGTGAATTTCATTGGGAACATTAAAGGGAACAAAACAAAAATCTTCACCTTGGGCTGTACAAGTCTTAAGTAGAAGTTTAGGAGTTTAAGCTCAAGCCCACAGGCCAGTAATATGTACCCAATAGTTCTGTAGTTGATTTTCTTTCCAACCAGAACACTGTCAAATCAAGAGTAGTTAATATTTTTCGGTAAACTATATTGTATGTTTTCATGATGTGTATATCTACAGATGATGAGTTTTATTAGATTTACTAGATCATTTCTACAACAAACAAAAAAAACCCCCAAACCTGTAATGCATTTTGTATTTTAAGATTCAAACCTCCACATTCTAGAGCTCATATTTTAAAAAACTAAAGTTAGTTTAATCAGTTTAAGTTACTAAAATAAAGTAGTAAAACTTCACAAAAAATGCAACAGAATAATTCAAGTATTTAAAGTAGTGCAGTTTTAAAATATAGCCAGAACAATAAAGAGATGAGAAGTAAAACATCTCTAGCACTTAGAGCAAGATGTTATGTTGAAAAATTAGTGTTTTAGAATAGAATTTTAGCATTGGTATTGTCCACTAAGCTACTGCATTCATCACTTTAAATAAAAAAAAATTTAAAAAATCGTTGTTAATGATCGATGAGATTAACAGTTGATAATAAATGGATTCTGTGGAAGTAAGTATACATGCTGGGTGCATTGTTGTCTCATAGGAAACAGATTAATGGTAAAACTCACTTAAAAAAAAGACTAACAAATGAAATTCCTGAATCGTTTGCCATAGAGATAAATAAAAGAAGAAAAAAGATGGAACAATTAACACACAGCTAACAAATGCACAGTCACAGCTGTCCAAACAGGATTAATAGAGTGTATTAGAGTACAGTGAGTCATGTGGTGCTTTGCAAAAATATCAACATGTGTTGCACTACATGCTACCGCCCTCCGGCACTGAATAGATGAAAAGAAATAAATATGTTAAGCAGATTCATAGTCTTTTCACTTTATTAAAAAAGCGAGTTTCTAGACTATACAGAAGGGACTAGACTTTATCATTATGGGAAAGGTAAAAAAGCAGAAGTTATCTAATACATGTATTGACCTTTTTCAAGTTTTAACAATGGAAATAGGAGAACTTTTTTACATGTTTCATAACATTCTCATTAGATGTGTGGGTGGTGGATGTCTCTAATCTGTCATTCTTTTAGGACTCCAGGAAAGTTTCTGCTAAAATAAGTTATTTTAGTAAAATAAATTAACTCATTTTTCCAGAATTTTTCAGCCTTTTAGTAGTCCTTCAGAAATGTTTCCCACCAGCACCATATTGCTAACCACTGAGAAACAAATTGGAACAGGGCACTTAATAGTCAAGAATACAGAAACAAAGAATTGCAAACAAAATTGAATTTTCTAAAATAAAAAAATCTTCCTAGAATTCTACTCTTGAGTACTATGGTTTACGTAAATAGTGATTTGAAACTTATTTGTATGTACAGTCTAAAAATATAGTAACTTTTTTTAACCTGAATAATTCTTTAATAGTTTATTTGGTAAATTGTCACCAACTTTCTTGGATATATGTTTGTGTCCACTAGAGATGTAGCTTTCTGTTCAATTACTGAGTAGTTTTTCAAATTGCAGTCTTGGGAATTTTTTTCTCTGTGGGCTGAGTAGACACTTCTTCTGTACGAAATGGATGAAAAACTTTTTAACACTTTTCTCCCACAAACTTAGAAAATAATACTGTATCAGATCTTTTCTGATGAGCAGTGACTTTTATTTATTTGTAAGAGGAAAATGAATGTAATTTGTGGACAATATTTTTCCCACCTGTTCCAAGAGGAGTGTCAGGCTTCATTTTTGTTTGTCCCTATAATGCCTGCTCTTGCTAGCTATTCTGCTGGTCCCCTTTCTGTCAAGGGGTATTATTTAGTTTCCAGAAAACCCAATGCTCTACCTGTTCTGTTTCTTTTCCTTTAAAGGTCTGGAAGCCTATACGTTCAACCCTGACTTTCTCAATTTTCCTGTAGCTCTACAGTCTGACTAAAACACTGCTTCTTTGAAAACACTAAGGACACTGTTGGCCTTCAAGTGTGAAAGCAGCTCTGTGTGTGTTGTCCTTCATCTGTTTACTGGTTAATTCAGTTAACCGGTTTCTTTTTGTGCTAAGACCTCTATGCTTTTTTGACATTTCTCCCTGCCTCTTGCTATTTTGATCAGCTTCAGTGATTTTTTTTTTTTCTTTATCCTTTGAAACTTCTTCTTTTCATTTTCTTCATTTTGGCATGTTTTCCTTGGATACCAAATTTGATTCCCATATTTTAAGTGACTGAAGCTGAGTACAAGAAGTGTATTTTTTTAATATTGTGATAGCTGTCTGTAAGTCTTGCAAATCTCATTGCACCTTGATACCCAAGTGCCAAGTTTACCCTTAATTCTGTCTCCATTTATTATCACTGTTGAAGTCACAGTTCTTAAAGCCCCCAAACCCTTTCAAAATAAGATGAGAGAAAACTTGCTTCCAGGCACTCCAGAGCCAGGGTTGTTTTTGGATTGCCTAGTTCTCTGCTGCCATTTTAGTTCTGGGGCGAGGTAAGCTTCCTTCCTTCGCACTCTTGGTCTTGACTGTGAGAGCACACATCACTCTGACATGATCTGTGCCAGAAGGTTTTTTTTGGAATATAATGGCTCATCAATCCTAGACAACTCTTAATTTGGGTATCATCTCAATATTCTGCCCTTTATTCAGTGTAGTTCTTGATGTAGACCTGGCAAAGGAACAACCTGTTTCTTCCTCTTCTGCCTTCTGGGGTGGACCCTATCGCTTGTAAACACTTCTACATTTTGGAAAAATTTTGCTCACTTAGCTTTAGTGATTGACTAGCCTTTGATCAGCACAAAGCCCAAGTCAGTGTTACGAGGTCCACTGTGAAGGAGACCTGTCAGCACTGTCTTTCATCCAGACTCTTTTCGTTCTGTGCAAATGTTCTGTGGCTGTAGTGGTGGGTAGATCTAGGAGAAAAACTGCAGCTGGAAAGATGTTTTTAGAGTCATTGTCTTCTGGTTTCAAAAGTAGTGGCTCTGGAAAAAACACTTACAAAGGCTTAGTGTTTACTGTAAGGTGGTGTGGCTCTCACAGAAAGGCTTTCTGCTACTTGCATTTTTTAATAAGAAAGCCCACTGTGCATTTCGTCCTGTTCTGGAATAGGTAAGGATTTCATAGAAACTGATAATTCAAGCAGCTTTCATACTAATACTGTTTGGTTTTTTTTTTCCCTAGTTAGATTTATTGAAATTATAAAAGCAGATTTCTTATCTAGAATAGACAATTTACTTCAACTCACATTATTCAAGCATTTTACTAGGAAACTAAGAAACCTTTTTAGAAGTGTGTCTTACAGTTTTATAGTGGTCAGTGAAGTGGAAAATTACCTTGAGATCATTGTCCTGTGTGTTTAACCATGTGTCTTATAGTGTGTTGTCTGAAAGAATTTTGCTTCCGTATGTAAAAAGTAATAGAATGGAATTTTTGTGTTTATTAAAAAATTTAATCAAGATTTTGATGTAAATCTTAAATGCAATTTTAACAGGAATCACCAGATTTGATCTGCTTGGAGACTTTGGAAGGTTTAACTGGCTGGGAAACTTCTATATTGTATTATCTTACAACTTGCTCTTTGCTATCATGACAACATTATGTCTGGTGAGAAAGTTCACTTCTGCTGTGCGAGAAGAGCTCCTGAAGGCATTAGGTAATATAGCACTGCACATTTAGTTTGTACTTGAACGTTTCCTTTCTCCAGCATTGATACCTTGATGTGTTACTGTTAAAGTTCTGTTAGAACTTGCAGAAAACTCTCTTTTTGGTGGAAGTTTCTGTAAGTTAAGGTGAGAATACATAGCTTTGTTATTTTTTTGAAGAGTTGAGAGCTCAGGTACAATGTTGATCTTAATGATACGTGTGTGTACTTAACTGATCTGCAGTTAGATTTTTCAGCCTTTAGAGAGCACAGAAACATTCTCATTTCTACTGAGCAATTATTCCAAAATAAAACTTCAACTTATGTCTGGATTTGCTTTTTTGTGTTTAAAGCAACTTATTAATTCCCTAAAAATAGTTTAGTGGAGGTCTTACTGCTTTGTTGTGATGCTTTTTTTTGAGCACTACATCTTCAGAAAATCTTTGTGCAGAATATACAGACTCTTAGTAACTGGCCAAGTAAAACCTGTACTTGATATAATCAAAATTTTTGTTCAAATTGTGCATTCATGTTTCTTGGCCATAGGAGAAAAGCTTGAAACTTAATACTAAGAGGATAAAACGTACATATTTAGGAATTGTGTTGTTACTATGTCTTATCTTTACTAACTAATGAAGCTCTGACCTCTTTAGAATCCTAGAGTAGTATTTGCTTAAATTGAGAGGACTAGTGGTGGAACTTCAGTGTTTGTTTATAACTGCAGTTTCAGACTGTAGTGTCTAAAAGGTACTTGCGTTAGTTTTCACTGTTACTGCTTTCTAGAGTTGTGGAAAATCCAAGCATGTCCTAGAGTGCACCTGTCCTGGTGGCAATTAAGTTAAAATCAGACCTGCTAAATAGGGAAATACAAAATGGCTGATAGCGTAGGATTAAAACAAGCCATTCTGTGATTTTTGATGTTGAGTGTTCAATCTCCAGGGGAACAGATTAAGTGGGCCAGGGGTGTGTAAATCTGTCTATTGATTTTTATGCTGAAAATATTTTCAGAGAAGTTCCATTGTTGATTGAGACAGATAAGTAATGTGAGTATGATGTATTTGACATTATCCCCCAGCTTTTAGTTAAGGTCATTTTATGAGAGGACCTTGATTCATCTCTTTCAGTTGACTTGCATAATCTTTTTTTTTTTTTGCAACTGTTTTGGCTGTAAAGGGATTACTTTGTATAATGTAATGGCTCTGAAGAAAATAAATTAACATCACTCAGCATGGGCTTATAGCAACAGGTCTGGTAAAACTTTAAAGTTTCGTTCTTAAAGCAAATGATGTAAAAGGTTTATCTTGATAATTCATGGCACTTTATTAAAGATATAGTGTTTAATAAAAATTATGTTGAAAGCAGATTAAGAAACTTCAGAATGCAGGTGTAGTACGATAATGGTCACTGGATGGGATCATCCAGTGGATTTTTTAGGGATTTTTTTGGCCTCTAGCTATCACATATTGTGTGATTCTTTTTTTTTTTTTTTTTTTGGTGTAAATATTGTGATGGAGACAGAAAACTGAGAAGCAAAGTAATTGGTAAAAAGTTTGCATTTGACACAAGCAGGGATTTATAAATCCTGAAGAGCGCAGGTTCTTGACACAAACGGGGTTTGTTTTCAATGCTATGTATAACAAACAGTGTCTGTTAAAAACTATTGCATGGAATTCAAAGAATGAGAACCAAAATTCGCGTGCTCATTTCTACCCCGTGCTGAAAAGCATGACACTGAGGACTAAAGGTTGGTGAAGCATCAGAGCTAATTTGTGGAAGGTA